GGGTCGAGTTATTTTCAAACTGTTTGGGTTCTCGGAGACGCCTACAAGAGAACTAGAGAATTGGCTCATTATGTGTAAAATACTTTTATGTCAATATTAGCCGTGGCAGGCTTCGCCTTCTATAACCCCATAACATTATACATTTATAGAAAGTTTTTATACGTAGATACAACAAAAATTTAATGAAGATATATGAATTTCAAACACAAATAAATGTATTTATTTGTTCTAACAAAATATATATATATATATATATATATACACACTACAATTATATAAATCATCTAACAGCATATTCTTGTGAACATATTTTTTAAAATTCATTCAGAACAAATTTTTTTAATACTCAATTATATTATATTCGAAATGGCTTCTTAAAAAAGTATTTTAATGTATGTATATGTTGTAGGCATATAGTCAAATCAAGAATTTTACTATATGCTTAAGCAATTTGTTATATAGTTTAATTCATATACGAATTTACTATCCACCTAGAAATTTAGTTAAATGCCTAGTCATTTAATAAAATTCCTAGACGTTTAATAAAACGTTTTAATAAAAATTTTAACTAAAAGACGTTTAACTAAATGCTTCCATTCAATCTTTGTGTTTTTAAAAAAATGTTAAATGTTCCGGCAAATATTACCGAGCAAAAACCATGTATTCACAAGTATTAATTAAAAACTTAATACAATTTTTAATTATAATATTACTTTTTGATCATTTTTTTATACTTTTATCATACTTAATTATTAGTAATTAGTGATTACTTATTTTCATTTATAATTTAGGAAAGTTTCAAAACAATAATACTTTACCTTAGGACACGAAATTGAAAATATTTTATATATTAATAAATTATATAGAATAGCAATAAATACTGAATAAAAAAATACAGTACAGTTTTTAAAATTATGTAAAACATTTCATTTTTATTATTTGCCCGACTTGAAATAGGCATTTAATTAAATTAAATTACCAGGCATTTAACTAATTTTCTAAGTGGTTATTAAAATTGTATAAAAATTAAACTATTTGACTAAACAATAAATTTACCTAGGTATTTAGTGAAATACCTGATTTGACTATATGCCTGCGGCATATATCATATACATACTGATAATTGTTCAAAATCTTCCAAATACTTAACGAATATTTTTTTCAATATATTTGATATGGCGTAAGAAGATTTATATATTTAAAAAGTTACAAAAAAGAACATTAACTTATTTATGGATATTTAATTTTATCAGGTTCAAGAATATTATATATTTCATATTGGAATATTATTTATTTATTCTAGTAAATGGGTTTATCAGGTTAACTTTATGAACGTAAATTAAAATATTAAAATGATTTATTGAGTTAAAACAATACATTTGGAAGAAAACGCTTAGAACAATAATAAAATAATGTTTAGTAACATTTAAAATAAAAAAAAAAACCGTAAAATTCGATAATTATTAATTGAACAAAAATAAGAAAAAAAAAAAATATTTCTTAAGTAAAATATTAAAATTATATTTAAAATTACAGTCATACTTAATGCAATGGGCAACTGTATGTGAGAAGTTAAAAGGTAGGATAAAGAGAGGAATTTAATCTATATCTGTACGCAACGATTAATTTTTGCTAACAAAAAACGATCCTGAGCAAAGTACAGTTATGTATGTTTTAAAAAACCGTAATTTTCCAAACTTTCCTATGTTATTCCTATTTATTATGAAAACCACTAATAAAATAACTTACCTAAAGGACCACCCCGGACAAATATCCTTTCAGAAAATTGCTATAGCTGAAAATCGGAGCAATTTTGCTGGTAAAAAAATTGTCCACTAATTAAAAAAGGCCGTAATATTTAATAGAATATTTCATTCATTTTTCCAGTTATTCTCATTTATTGGGATAACTTCTGGAAAAAACAAAAAGTTATCTTCTAAAAGTATCACCGTAGTCAGATTTCATTTCAGAAAAAGTACAATATTTGAAAATTGGAGCAAAACTGCACATAGAAAAATTGTCCACAGAAAAAAAAAATAGTTTATAGACATTTTAATTTTGCGAGTATTTTTATAAAAAAAATATTATATATATGGTAGGTACTGTGTGGTAAAATTGTTATATTAAACAGAATTGCTTGAAAATGTGACAAGAGGTTTATTATAAGTCCTACTTAGTAGTTAAAAAAAAAAAAAAAAAATGAGTGCAATGTTATATTATTATTATTATTATCGTTTATTATCGTTATTTTTTTTATGAGAGATAATGAAATGTTGAAGAAAATCGTAAATGTTACGACCTTTAAAAACATGTATAATCGAACTTCACTCCAAATCGTTTTTCATTAGCAATGGTTTATCGCTGGTTACAGGTATAAATTATATAACTTGGTGTATCCCACCTACTCAACTACCCACCTAGAATTGTGGCCGCAACCGTCCCCAGAATAGGTTTTTTAAAATTTTATCGCATAAGTTTAAACTGACCGTGTCGTGTTTTAATTGTAATGATTTGCTTTACAGACGAGTAAATATTGAAATATCGAACAATATTTCCTCAGGTACACAAAGCTCAAAAATTAAAAAAAAAATATATATTATAATTTGTAGGTACTTTATTATGACTAAATTAAACAAATAAAACAAAAAGACGGACATACATCGCACGTAGGAGGTAGAGTTGAAAAGTCACAGAGAAAATTTAAAGTGTATATCTGTACGCATCGATTAATTGCTAACGAAAAACTATTCTGAGCGGAGTTAAATCAATAGTGTTGCATTTTCAACAATATATATTATGGTAAAAAAATGTCATGTACATTATATATTTTCTTTAATAATATTTGTTTAATATTGTACCTATTTTCCCGTTCTACCTACGTTTTTTCAAATTTATTATAAAAATAGATTGGAAAATCAAATTTATATTTTTCTGAAGTATTACTCCACTCAGATTGTCTTTCAGGAAATGTGTTATCATTGTAAATCGGAGCGAAATCGCTGGCAGAAAAGTTGTTCGCAGATAAAATAAAAACCCTATTGTAAAACCATTATATTGTTTGCTTATCTCAGAATCTAAAAACAAAAAGATTATTTTATTATTTTTTTATTATTAAGTAAAATATGTAGAAATTCGAAAAATTTCAAACAAATAGATTCAAAATGCAATAAAAAAAGTCCATTGGTATTCTTTGATAAAAGCAAAATGCCTAGTAGTAATAGTAAATTTTCAAGCATTTCTGTTCGGCTAAATAATTTTATTTACAAAAAAAATCAAATAAAACTAAAAAAAAAAAACTCAAATTCTAAACAAAAATTGATTTATGGAAAATATAGAAAATATACTAGAATTTATAAAATCTTTTTAAAAGAAGTTATAGAATCATATCTAGCATAGGTTGTCACGCTACTTCGAACCAGATTTTTAAAAATTTCAACAAAGTTTAATATTTATTACAAAAATCGTATATTTTTTTTTATAAAACCGATCTAGTTACTTTATATATTCTAGGTAAATGAAAATGGAAATTTTAGTCAATTGACCTTTACCTTCTGGGTTTTCAAACAGTATCAAAGTTTGTCAATAAAACATTTAACTTTATTCGAACAAACCTTAGGAAAAAATAATAATTTTTTTGAGAAAATGATTACACTATTGTACCTATAGCCTGTTATCACAAAACATAGGCGATACGTTATCTTCCGTAAAAATAATAAAATTAAATGTTTAAACTGATGTTGAATAAAATTGTGTATTTTAAAACCGCAATTTGAATTTTCAGGATTTGTATTTATTTTTTTATTTAGAATATTGTGAGGTGGTATAAAATTTGCACCATCTGCTACCCCCGTCTCCTGTAATCCATACAGCTTTGCATTCAGATTCTAGATGATAATGTAAAGACGAGGCAGTAATCATTTTTTTTATTTCTGAGATTAATGATTTAAAACCGGAAACTAATTACCGGATTATTCGAGACGCAGCCGCGCCAATGCGTTTTGAAAGTTATTATTTCTACACCGGGATTAATCATAAATTATACAAGTTTCGCTTTAATTGGACTTCGCGTTTTATAATCCTTAATAATAAAAGAATAATTAAGCGAATTCGATAAATTATTATTATTGCACCTACAATAAAATATAATGCTCGCCGAGCATTGTAGCGGTAATAAATAATCCATTATTCATTAAAATACAAACATTAAAGTTATATTGTATTATTAAGACGTAATTCGATTAATTTTTTTTTGACAGACAATTAATAATTAATCATTGTGGATAATGCGAGATTTGGGAAATTTTGGAAAGTGGACTTTGATAAAGGAAGAACGTCGCGGCTACACGCTTAGTACCGTAGAAACCGCGGTACACAGCACCTTGCCCCACGCGTCAAGTTCATATTATGGTGCCCAAATATTAAAACATAGAATTTATTTTGTTGTTGTGATTCTGGGAATATATTTTAAAATCGGTTCAATCAGTTTCTAAATGTCTGCAGTCTAATGATATTCGTATCCAAAATGCTTGTAATTTACTTCAGCAAAAAATTGGTACACTTGGAAATCTACGTGAAAATTACGACTGTATTGAATACCGAAAAATATAAATCGAATAATTAAGGTATTGTCACTCAGTCAGAATGTAAATGATAATGTTACGCTAAATCATATTTTGATGAGTTAGATGGAGACAGACGTTTGAATGCGAGAAAGGATAATTTTTAAAAAAAAAATAATATTTTTACCTGTAATTGATACTGATTTGGCATAATTACCTAATAAATTTACTGGATTGAATGAAGTAGTAATATATATACCAGGTGATTCATTGAAGTGGGTACACTCATTATCTCGAAAAGTATTTGTTTTCTAGAACATTTAAGAAACAAACTGCTCCACAGTTTTATATTTATGTTATTTTTTGTCACCCTTACTTTCGGGGGTGAAATCATTACCTATTTTAATTTTCTAATGGCAACCTATATTGAAAATTCCATAAATAGACGGAGTATTAGTTGAAATCAATTTTAGAGTTGAAATTCGTAATTCCCGTCAATCAATTGACGAAATACTCCAGGGACAAAAGCCAAACCGAGTGACCTACATTCAATATGCTTTACTACATTTCTTCTAGTAGTTTTTTTTTTTTTTATTGTACACAAGTAAAACTATATCGATTAAAAAACTTGTTGATTAGGTAACTACATATACTTAGAAACTAGTAAAAAAACCTCCTGATGATATAATACACTTATATGTAGCACAAATGCACAACAAAAGTGTATTTTCTATCATTAGCGGCTCGTTAAACTTTTATAAACTCGATCGGTGTACACTAAACTCTATATATTATGTATAAGCAAACTTGCACAACAAATTAATTGCCTTATTTCCCAGTACTGCTAGACTTACTTTTTTTTTTAATGTTTTTATCCAGTAACTTTTTAAATAAGATACCTATTTATAATATAGACGAGAATACAAAATAAGCAGTTGGGTAAATACAAATTTTGAGGTCCACAATGTATACAATATAATATGCATATTTTAAATTAATAATCAATAATTTAAATTTTTTATTGACAATGATCGAGTGGAATGCAGATTACGAAAATCTATATTATTTACTCTACAGCCAATTAAAAAGTTTTGCATTCGTGGAGAAACACTTATCAGTGGGTACACATCATTACGTATTCACGTGCGTAGTGATTGGTAAATTTCCATACACTTCTGGTAAATTTCGAATGCCTATAAATATACCACGATTCCCAAAGCAAATATCATTTGTCGAATACATCGAAATCCGAATTATATTTACATACATTTTCGATATTCTTATGCGCGCGCGATTCCCAAAGGTAAAGGTTATTTTTGATTTACACGGTACTAAGAAAAAAAAAGTTTGCGAGTTATATCGAACGTCACATTGTGCAATAAAAATATAAAAAGATGTACTATATTATCATAAATAACACGAACTTTAGTATGTCGTCACTCGTCAATATAATATTATACAGTATTTCAAAAAAATTGAATACTATATAAAGTTTTATTTTCTAGAATATAAATTTTATGTTAAACTCTAAAATCTGTCTGAATACTGCAGAAATATACATAATATATTTGATGAAATCATCAAAAAAATATAAATAAAAAATGTATTCTGATTTTATAGTGAGTGAATAAAACCCATGTCATTTAAAAAACGATAAACCATTGTTTGACGAAAGATGATTCCGAGCGCAATTCGGTAATATATAATTTGGAGTACCGTCATTTTTTTTTTTTGCGATTTTCGTAAATCATATAAATGATACATCACTACTCTCCTTTTGTCTAAACTAAAAATTAGTATATTTCGTCAACGGGTTGAATCGAAATTATCACACAAAAACGTATTTAAAATTTTACACTAATACTCCGTATTTTTTTTTTTTTTTATATATAAATCACTATATAAAAATCAAAAGTTCCGATTAATTCCCACCAAAAAAAGAATGTCAAATATAAGGACAATCTAATATTTTAATATTTCACATTGCTAAAATCAGAAACTGAGCGTTAGAAAAAAATAAAACATCACGTGACCGCATAAATGAATATATGAAATAATATTATACAAACGCATTTGACATTTCCATTTAATCCGATTAAATTTTATATAGTATTTTCAGTACAAAAATGGGTTTTTATTTTTTGTTTACCGAAAATATTATTTCGGTCAGTTATATTATTTAATAACGTTATGAAAATAATATTTTATGATTATGAAATGCGTGCGGTTTCGTTCGAAAAATATGGCGTTTTGTTGATTTTGTCGGTTTGGCTTATCCACGCATTTGGATCTGCAGGAGAGAGCTGATTTGTATTATTATTTTTTTTTTTTTCATATATGTGAAAACGAAATAAAATATAATAAAAACGGACGGTAAAAGCGGCGGTTTATTAGATATTTTATATAGCGAATGATAAAAGCACAAAAAGCAGACTATATTGAGGCTGGAGGCCATTAGGCATGTTCGTATTATTATATTCGCCGTAAATAATTTATTATTCTACGACAACAAATCGAATATGGCGCGGAGCCGAATATTGGACCGGTCGTCGGCTCGCACATGGAATATTAATATGATTGGTTATATTTTGATAACCGACAATAAGGTTTTGGGTCAAAATATCCGCGACAAAATGTGAATAGTAATATTATCTCCGATACTCGATATCGGTGGTAATAAACATCTATAGCTAAACACGTACATCCATTTCGAAATATCTTCGGTGGAAATAATTTTAGGCAAAACAATATCTCTTGTAAAAAATATCTTTCAATTGTCTCATCTCAGATAAAACTTAAATTTATTTTATAATTTTTAATTTAAATTTGTTTGTATTTGAATTACCTATACTCGGTTATTTAAATTGGAAAAAAATTTAAAAATTACCAAAAAAAAAAAAAAAGCTGCCCTAAATTGACGGAGATGAATGTAGCCACTGTCATAGGTAATTTAATTTATATCTACAAGCAACGATTAGCCATTGCTAACGAAAAACGATTCTGTGCGGAGTTCGGTTGATAGTGTTGCTTTGCTAACAATACGTGTATTGTATAATAGTAAAATAATTACATATGCATGATATGTTTTCTTTAATAATATTTGTTTAATATTGTACCTATTTTCCCGTTTTTATCGGTTTTCCTATGTTTTTTTCCCCGGTTTTACCATTTATCGGGGCCCTGGGAAATTATCTTAACGCTTCTGTCTTCCGCTCAATCCACTTATTTTAAAATTATAAACGTTCGGTTTTTTTTTTTTTTTTTTAATTTGTATAACTTTATGACGTAACTATATTTTTTAATAAAAAATAACAGTCGGTTTCGAAATGAGAAATAATAACGAAGTGCCCGTAGTTACGCCTCGGCTTATACATTAAAATTTGGCGTTGACGCGATCACGATATTTGTATTTAATTGCAGTGCGCTGTACACACTCAAGCGAATACTCAGCCAGCGAAAACATAATAAATATTTATGATTTCGTAATATGTATATATTTATATTATATTTTAGTTCAAGTTTTGAACCACACCAAGTCATTATACAAATTACATTGGCCAGATGGTACATAATTTTGTTTGGCGGCGGAATGAAATATCGGGCGCGTTTCACGGATATACGTGGTTACTTTAATATTTTAACTCTTATATTAATCGCAAAAGTACCTACCCCAGACAATTTCGAGAAATGTAATTTATTATCAGACCTGCTTTGCATACTTTGTAATTTATTTTTAAAGGAAAAGAAGCCTCCTTATCTTAATATTATTATTATAATCATTATTATTTTTTTTTATAAAGTTTAACCGTTTTAAATAAGTATATAATATTAACCCAGATAAAAAAAAAAAAAAACGATTTATTATTATAATTTTTTTTCGAATATTCTAAATGCGGAATGTTTGATTTATAATGATTTTTCTTTTCAACTTAAAGAATTATGTGAAAAAAACAAATATAAATATATATACCTATACTTGGAATACATAATTACATTTTGTTTACAGTGGTATCATATCTATACTATCCATCCGTCTGGAAATTTAAATTATTTCGTGCGGCTTTTAATAATTTTCGGCTCAGTGATTCTTTTCGTGCGTCTGACAAATCTGTTCGGTAAATGGGTATTAGGTAAGTGAAAGGTAATCAGCTTTCCTGTGGGAAAATGAAAATCCGTTAAACAGATATTATATCATAAGGCTTTTGATATGCTCGGTTCGTCACAGCTCGGCAAGGAGGGGTCCGTGTCAATATTATGACTGCGTAAATGGGGTATTACTTAAGCTCAATAAAATTAATAAACTTAAATAAGCTTTAGGCACGAAATCTGAATATTCATGGCGAACCGTTCCGCCTTGTATAATATCCTCGGCCGTAACTATAATATTATCACCTACTGTAGCCGTTAGTAGGTACGAATTAATGAATATTTCAATCTTTGGTTTAATCGTTTGACCGCTCACGGAAATAATTATAGGAGACAGTGGGACTTGGCCCCGGGCTCCACATTTCAAACGGGCATCATAATCACTTGGAAGACATCTTAAAATAGTCATTTTAGATTATTGTTCGTTGATCATGATTTCAATAAAAAAAATTTAACCGTGATATAGCTATGATCTTTAGTACTTGTATTTCGTTTGATTAAATATATAAATTTGTATTGGAGTAAAAGTATTTTGTACAAAATGTAATAATGGATACAGCTCTAATTTCTAACGCGTTGTAAACAAATCTGTACTTCTTTGAAATAAACGGTGCTTCCGGACATCAAAAATATAAATAAGTTTTTGTGACCGGTATTTTGTATAGAGCCAAATAATTAGACGCTGCGGTTATACATAATAAACAATCACACACGAAAAACGTAGATTCATGATATTATTAATTATACGTAGTCATAGGTACATTGTTATGCTAGACGCAGAGCGCATGATTACTTGTTAAAGTTAGAATTTTGCATGACTACTACAGGTGCCAATAGTAAATTATAATATTTTATGCCCACAAGAATATGGCCGTTGGAAATTAGTAGTATAGACTTGTTCCTTCTATCATGCAGCAAAAAGTCCCATAAAAAAAATGAAATAAAATAAAATAACCGTGAATTTAGCACAGGATCCAATTTAAACTTGTATTAGTTTTTTTTAGAAGCGTTTAAAGTTAACATTTTGGTAACAACCTTAAAAACCACGGCATTTGACATGTACTATTATCTTAATTGTTATGATTAACTTCTTTGGTTCCTTAAAAATCCTCAACAAAGACGAAAAAATACCGACAATTGCAATTTATTTTGTAGTTATAAATTAATACATTTTTCAATTTAATTTTTTTAAATGAAGTGTTTCTGTATTTGGAAAACACAAATATACAATCGATTCGATAAAGTCTTGCGAAAATAATTTTTTTTTTTTTTATAGTGTTTCTGTTGTGGATGTTTCCATCGAGTTCAAATTTACATTTAAAATTAAACAATAATAATGTCTGTGAAATACTAAAAAAAAAAAAAAATAAAAGGTCGTGCAAAAAATATTTTTTGCACGAATATTTTTATAAAATATTTTTTATTTCGATTGTTATTTTACTGTTGTTTGTTACTTAAAGGTGATAAAAGATAAAATGTACAATTGTACTTCGAAATTTCGTAGAATGCGTAAACAATTACTCAAAATGAAAATGTACAAAGAAAGACTAGACCTATGACAATAGGACGTATATTTTTATTATTATTATTTTTTTTTTGATATAAAATAATATATATACATCGCATTTTTTTTTTTTTTACATCGAAAATAATTGCGCTTATAAGCCCACTGAAAATACGTCAAAACCCAACAACTATAGAAATTAATTTTGATATTGTGGATTGTAATTTACATAAGGTTTTTTGCTTTGACCTAGGTATGAGCTTTTTGAAATAGTTAACAAATAATAGCAATACATATTAAAATATTGAACACAATACTAAATAATTTGAATTAGTTTATATAACGCAGCAATGACGTCTTTAATATTTAGAAGATATATTTTTCTTCTTGACATTATTTTAGTATTTATTATTTATACAACTATACCTGTTTTTTTTTTTTTTTTACTTCAAATTTCTTTACTTTTTAGTTTGAAAAATCAAATATTTATTGATACACCACGTTTTATATATTACCTACGTCCTATAAAGTTAATATATTAAAAAACTTGACCGCATTTAAAAGTAAACCTATCATCTATATCTCAATAATTACTAATATCTAACTGGATATTTAATTTCAATGATAATATTAGGGCAGATTAAATTATTAATTTCTAAAAATATACAAATGAAATATTTATACATTTTTTTACCCCGTTTATAATAATGACACGTATAACATGGTATAGTTTTCAAATTCAATATTTTCCTCCAAGGAAATATCCTAAATACGCCACTGATAGGTAGGAAATTATGTAGATATATTATAAATTATAATTGTATAAAGGAATTTTTTTAACACGAAAATAAATTTTGTTAACAGGGAATCAAATTAGCTTTGGATTTGGAGGAAAACCGAAACCCAAATAACGTTTCAACCCAATTTCTATCCATAAACCTCAACCCGACAAATTTTAAACCGAGTTTGTCGTTATCTTTATACATTTCTGTCATTACTTCATTTAATCAATTGTATTTATACAATTTATGTTCAATTATTTTATTTAAAAATCGGCTTTTTGTTTGTAATAAAAAATTTGAATTTTATTTGAGTCTAAATACCAGATTTGTATGTTATTTATGCTATTACCAAAATTTAACATGCAACTGTTATTTGATTAGTTAGCTAATCATAGCTCAATATATTTTTCAAGATAAAATTCGGTTATAATCCACACTTGGAACCCATTTAAACTATAAAATCCGATTTTAATCTGTCACCTAGAACTCGTTGTTAATACATTAAACTCGGAATCTGGAAAAAGAAAATTAATTTAATTTCCTGTTTGTAATTACTATAACGTTGCTAATTCGTCTTAAAGTGCGTGTCTCAGTTTTTGTAGTTTTATAGAATAATCGATTAAAATTTTTAGAAAACTATCATGTGTAACAACCATAAGTCCAACAAATTTAAATAATATAACAAACTATTTTTAGAAACACTTGTTTTATTAATATCAATTTGAATATCATTTGAAGAATTTTTGAGATACCTACGTCCTATTGCAGAATACGATGGGTTTATAAGTGTGGTTATAAGTATGTCTAAAATATAAAGCATAAAGTAATTTCAATAGGCATTAATTAATAATTTTGGTTGTTTTTAAGTTTGATTTATTCAGTTATATTTTAATAGTCATATTTATTATTTAAATATCATTACCTACTTTGATTAATACAAAATAATATGCCATACCAGAAATACGTGTAACGTCTTACAAGACATTGGTGCACCACAATTGTCTACACGTTGCGCCGTCTAATATTAATAAACGTAAAATTAGCTGCAAAATTTCATTACCGATATAAAAACGTATTCCACTAGGAATATTCTCGATATTTCATCGATAATTTTAAAAATATTTATATAAGATAAAACATAATTGCTAGAATAATAATCTAGATGGAGAATAAGTATACACGATAGTTTAATTATTTAAATAAAGATAATCAATCAGCAACTTTTTATTTAGACAAAACATACAGTTGTAGTGAAATTGTACCACATTGTATACACATTGTATTTTAAAATGGTTGTGTGAATGATGAAACGTTATAAATAATTTATTAAACCATATCAATATAAATTAAATATTTAACTAATATTATTTTTAATAAATATATAAATAATGATTCCCAACGATTTATGATACGGTTTAGTTTTTACTAGATTATTCAGTATTTATATTGTGTAACGGCTCAGGAAACTAAATCTCATTATATTTGAAAAATGATTAATTATTTTAATTAACAAGTTTAATGAAACCCGAACTTTTATTTACATGATAATAGTCGTATAAAAATTATATTATACGTAGTATACTGCTACTAGGTAGAATATACGATTTTGGTAGGTTTTAGTAACCTAACAAAAATCTAAACACTTGAAGTATTTTAGTAAAATAATTGGAGTCGATGGTACCATAGAAATACTGTCGTTGTGTTTTACTGTCATGTACACGACACATTCACAGATGTTTCTATTGAAATCTACTAGCTATAACTCCAATGTATTATTATCGCACAGACGCTTCCTCTGGGACAGTTACCATGCAAATATCAGAAAATAGTCACAACACTGACTATCACGATAGTTATTATCATAGTGCGGCCTATGTTAATATTGTTAAGTTTTTATACAAATAAATTATAGAAATACTTACTTAGAGTAAGTTCCTATCTAAAAATCCTATCATAAATTTGAAAATGTAAATTTTCTAAAAATTATTTATTAAGAATTAAAATGGTATGGTATTATATATTTTTTAGATTCTGAGCATAACAAAGGAGCTATTGGATTTACTAAGATGTTTTTCTTTTTTTTTCTAGTCTGTGGACACGTTTTTTCCTAGTAAATTTACTCTGATTTTTACGTGTAGCAATTTTTTTGAAAGCTCAAGTTGTCTTTATGGTATCTTAAAAAAGATTAATTTTGTCTTATTTTTGATTTTCGATGATATTTTTTTAAATAAAAGCATTAAGTGGGAAATAACGTAGAAAAACCTACAATTTCACGATTTCATTATTTTATAAAAACATGGACGACGTTACTAGATTTAATCGAAAAATCACAACACACCTTTTTTGTTGCCTTTTTTATTTACTTTCTTAGGTATCATCGCCAAAACGTTTGAGCCACTTTTGAGCTGTTAAGAAATTTTGATTTTGTGAAGTTTTTTGTTGTAATTTGATTATAAATACACGTAGAGACTAGAAACTCGGTAATAATACTTATATTGGACTTCCCTAGACGTGGTAAAATTTCCAAAATTATGAGATGACTTCTTTATTTTTATAAGCGTTTTGAAATAAAATTTAAACGAAAATTACAAAAAAAATTATTGCACTTCAAATTATGTACTACCGAATTGTGCTTGGAATTGTCTTTCGTCCTCGTTAAGCAATAGTTTATCGTTGCTTTCAGATATAAACTAAATAACCTTTTGTATCCTACCTTACCAACTTCTCACATAGAACAGTAGACCTGTGGCCGTTCCTATCCCCAGTATTATTTCTTTTTTTTATTTGGTTCCAATATTGCACTATTAAAAAGCCCATATTTTCAAGAAATTAAAATTAACACACTTTTTTAGTAACAATACTAATATTATTTTATTAGCATATAATAATAGTATGATGCAATGAAGCATTAATTCACTACACTCTTTTGTTAGTCGGTATACCTTGTTAATGCGTAAAATATTATTTTGGTTTACATAATATACGAATATAATACGTTTGAAAGGCTTTTGCACTTTTATCGACATAGCCATTAAATCAAAATTGATGAGGTCATAAATAAATACTATTACAATAACTCGGTATTGTATAAAATAAAAAAAATTGCATTTCAATAATTTTTATTTTACAAAAAAATGAGTAAATCTTGTCAATATGAAGGAAAATATTCTTTCACTATTCAGCAAATAAAGTATGATTCTGTATGGGGTTCATTTAATTAATTTGTTTAAGTAATTTTTTGTACCTGTTCATAACCGAGGAAACCGAGAAAAATAACAATAAACAATGTGTAAAATGCAAACGTAAGTCTCCTTTCATTTAAAATAGAAATTTAGCAATCTTGCTTCAAGACATATTGTAAAACTCTTATGCGTTCACTATGTTTTTATTCTTTCCTTCTACCTAAATTTAAAAGTGAAATATCTCGTCAACGGGTTAATAGAAATCAAAAATGTTAACATTAAAATGTATTTAAAGTAATACTCCATCTATTTATAGAAATTTGAATATAGGTTAGTGTCACTACAAAATACTTCTTAAATTTTTTGAAAAGTATAAGTATTTGAAAATATCGGTTTTAACTGCATTTAAAATTTTCAAAAATCAGAATTAGAATATATGTGAAATTTAACCAAAAAGAATGGGTTAAGCAAGATAAGCGAATCATCCTGTATATTATAAAGATACATTTTTGAGAGCATAGAAGTGCAATTTCGAGGGATAATTATATACTTATAGAATTTTTAATTTAGGTACTAAGATTAGTTAGTTGAAAGGTACCTGTTACTATTTCTGACCGTAATAGGTGGGTATTTTCATATTTCATCTACAAATCAATATAATCTAATCATACCTTTTATAAAGAAAACATTACTACATTTCACGCGAACGGAGTCATGGAGAAGAGCAGATATGTAGGTAATTCTAAAATGTAAATTTTTGAATTGTTTTGAACCATAACTGTTTGATCTAGACAAATGTTTAAATTCTATACTTTCAATGGGATATTATATATTATACGCAGCCCCAAATTTCATATTATATACCATTAGACTCATACTCATGCAAACGATGACAAATAGTGTATTATATAATGTATAGTGTACACCTAAACTCAATTTTGCCGTGTCAAATTAGCATTTACCGCATGTGACTCGTCAACAATGGCGAACATTATAATTTATCTGCGAGTAAACTTGCGGCAGTCGATTTTTCAAATCCAACTCACCCAAAAACTTGTATATTATGTATAAATTATTCTTATTTTTTTTTTCTGGCTTTTTTAGGGCGTTTATAAAATATTATAAACTTCCAAGTTGCATGCAATAATATATTGGTGTTTAAAATAGCATATAATAATATTATATGTTTGTCACATTATTTATCTGTACGTGACCTAATCTATAAAATAGTTTTGTTTATTTTTTGAGAAACCGTAAGGGAAAGTTTATCGTATAAAAATGGATAGGACATTTATTACATTTTCCTATTCCAGTTTGATCTAAATAATGTCGGGCTTAGTGCAACAACACGATAAGTCTACTTTTCGATATTGCTTAGAAGAAAATATCGTTTATGGAACTTGTATTCCTTTTACCCAGAATTTGGTTAACCCTGCAGACAAACCCACATCACTATTTTCTCCGTATCGATTAGATGGAATTACATTATTTTCATACCAAATTATGTTATTACAACAAAAACCTTTTGCCTACAGCAACGTGTAAAAAAAAAAATTACCAACTATTGTATAACACGTAAGTGTCCAGCATTATAAATTTGTAATATTATTTGTGCTAAGTGAAGTTTTCGATTTACTTGGCGAAATAAAATAAAATTTCCTAAACAAATATCTTATAAGTATTTAAAAAGATGTAAAGTATTTTAAGTATTTATTTATTTATTTAAACTTATTTTATCCAGCATTATAATAATAAAATAATTAGTAAATTGTATAAATTTCCTTTTTATTTGCTATTATAGCTGTTTAAGAAATTTTATTTGCTCTCACCAAGTAAATCGAAAACTTACTTAACACCAAAAAATAATATCACAACATTATGGTGCTGAGATATGTAGATATGAGATATATAATAACTGGTGATTTTTTTTTTTTTTTTTAGACTTTTTTTTACACTTACACTATAGGAGAAATGTCTTTGTTGTGATATCAACTTTTTTATGCGATTAATTTTAACATGCATTACTGAGAAAATATTGTTTTACATTATTTTTTTTAGATGATCTATTGCTAATTACGTATTATTATTATTCCAAAATACTTTTGGATTGCACCCTAGCAACAACTAAAGGAAATTTTAATTCAAACATAAGCTTATTGATTCATATCAATATCTTATTTTGGTAACAATTCTGAACATTAATAACCATAACTTCTGTTCTATTGAACCGATTTACACAAAAGCAAAATAAGGCACCTCTCAAAATATTTTCAATGTTTTGAAATAAATTAGAAGTCAATCGATTCTATAGTTTTATAGTTATGAGTGCGCGAAAAATATGAACCGTTTTATATGTGTTTAAGTGGGAACGTTGTTGATCGATATAATATACACTGTTATTCGCAACGTTTCTTTTTTTTACTTAGCGCGTGCAATGACCGTTGCACTGGATATGCTTATCAAAATGATTAAAAAGGTATTCTTTTTTCGAATATATATTGAAAAAGATGGGCTAACATTTAACAATCAAAATGTATGCACAATTAGAATTTTTGGGAGTTCCAAATATTTTGTCATCAAAAATAAAAAAGTAATAAATTAATGAAATAAATGTTTTAAAAAAAAAAGTGTAGAAGAATGCCAGATTTACTCTCCTATAATGTACTACTGAGAAGGAATAGGGACTTACAACCACGGACATTTAATTTTCATGTACCAGACCGTTTGAGCAAAGGTGTTGCGTAATAATAATTATATTTACGAACAAATTGTTTTTATTTTTGTTTGCCTTAGAAAATGGAATACGGATTATGGTCACACATGTCACTAATATTATACAATAGTGTCGCACGAGTGTTGTGTGTTGAGAAATGTGAGAGAAACTAACTTTTGGGACCTTCCCAACAACGTTTTCACATCCAAAAAATGTCTGAAACAGTTACGGTAACATTAATTAATTTAAAATTCAAATTGTACTATATTTTAATATAAAAAAGGTAAGAATATAGTTAATATTGTATATGTACAGTAACTATATATACGAGTGTTTACTTGGGTCTATATGCTAATTGGGCCATATTTTCAGATGCGCATAATGTACCTACGTGCTAACGAATACTGGAGTTTTGTCGGTTCAGTAACTTTCAGTGACGTTTTAAACAAGATTACCAAAAAGAAATAAAACAGAACAGGTACAAATAATATTGTTATTCTTGTTTAACATGATTTTAATTTATTTTGTTTGTTATTATCTATTATAAAATAATAGGGATAGTTATACTATATTATTTTTTTTTTTTATATAACACTAAAACGAAATTAAAAAAACGCAGTATAACGTTATAATACGTTAAAATTATAACGTATTAATAATAAATTCATTCCATGAAATCGCAGGAAAAAAAAAAAATTAAAATATTAAATAATGGCCCCGATTAAATGTCTTTCCGTTCTCGTTCTTATCGTAACTATAGGCTATCATAATTTTAGATTTTAGACAATGTTTATAATATTTAAATTTATGTACTTCTAGATGAATTATAATATATATATAAGCCTGGTTAGCATTATTCAAATGACGCGGTGTTACTCATTACATTCCGATTTTGTTTGTTTTTATTATCACCGGAGGTCAGGAGAACGGATTTATAATATTATTAAATAATTAATATTTTGTGGTTTGAAACATATTATAATGTCGGTTGACATCAAATTATCAAAACGATGTCAAAAAATGTGCACTTACTTTTTATTAGGTTTTAAAAACAAATTGGATTTTAATTAACATAAATGTTAAAACATTTCATTAAAAAATAAAAATTACGTGATCTGACGTGTAATTAAATTTTTGATTAACTGAGTAATTCTAAGTAATATTTTTTTTTATCATGTTGAATTTAAAAAACAGTATGGCGGTAACACATCATACGTCAAACTGCAGACTCAAAGTCATTTTCAATCAATTTCCTGTTGACATTTTCTTCTTGTATTATTTTTTTTTATAATCAAGGGATTTTAATTAAATTTAAATTAAATTATAAATATTAGATATTTTAATTTACACAATCTGCACTATGCCAATATAGGTTAAACTTCACGAAACAACTGAGTCTGAAAACTTTATAATCGAATATATATCGAATTCTAAGACAAACATAATATTATTTATTAGCGGTCTAAGTTTCGGTGCAGCTACGTGACAGCGGAACAAACTTGTTTAATATCCGCGCACAAACTCTTTGTACATACCAAAAGCCTATTGAATTAATAATACGCAATATTGCAAGTTACAATAATTATTTATTTTAGCTATTGTCTCGTATAATATGTGAGACCCTTATAAGGATGCTACATACACATTACTTGTACAAGTCTCATAATAGCGCGACATAGCAGATATACGTTAAGCAGGACAAACTTTTTTCTCTGATGGTTTTAAAATTAGAATAAATTATATATACCTATTATCAGACTTGGAGAAGAGAACATTATTTGTATTTGTACGCTGATGTTTTTCGTTATTTTAATTTTGAACTTATATAGTGTGTGGTGTAATATCACAATTTCAAAAATAATTTTACCTTGCTTGAAAATAAAAATATCGAAGAAAAACTAACTTAAAAATACATATATTTATCAAAAACTTAAAGGTAAGACATTAAGTTTTTGATAATTGGACAATTCACAGAAATCTGCAGCACAAAATTGGTTCTGCTAAACGAAAATGTGCTTTGTCGTCTGTTTGTAAATCGGAGACAATGAGTGCATACGTCCCTATTAAACATTTTATACTTTATAGTTTCAAACATTGGGTAATTTTTTATTTTTAATAGGTACATTAATTAATACTATAAATTGAATACTGTTGTTTCGTTTTTAATTTTTTTACAGGAGCTTCAATTATTTTAGCTCATTGACATTGGAATTGGCAGTGAAGGGGACTAACCCGTTCGAGAACTATCCACAATATATTCAGTTGTACAACGGTGGACCCCGTCATGTCATCACCGTATTTTAGATTCTGTGTGCCGCAGAGTAAGGACCTATTGATTTTAGAATCTTATTTTTTTTTTGTCGGTAGGTGTACCGTTTTTTAGTCTAGAACGAGCTTTCGAATAATATTGCACGTTTACCAATTTCTATACAATTCGTAGTATTCTAAATAAGTCGTAGTTTTTTCCCCCATCAATTTAAAATAATAATTGCAAAACCTGCAAGCGGCAAATAACAATGAAAAAAAAAACTGTCTGAATGATTTATTTACGTCAAATGCCAATATTTCAGTTACTATTAGCGTTTACCTTGAAAATAATAACCGTTCAGACTTGTATTATATATATTTCACTTTTAGAAGCACTTCAAACGCACAACAATCACAATATAATGAGTAATGACGTTGGAACGAAAATACAGAAATACGAAATATATATAAGTTAGGTACATTAAGAATAGAAAATTATTAAATATTTTAAAAAAAAAAATGTTTCAAGGAGAGGTTTAAAAATTTCTTGGAATCGTATACACATTTTTTATATTATATATTATCTATATTACTTTGGACGAAAGTTTGTGGAGAAGAGTATTTTTATTAATAAGCTTCAAATAAAATATAATTTTTACAAAAATATAGACTATTGCACTATATTTTATCATTTTACTTTTACGTATTACAAATATATTTTTCCCGATACATTTGAATATTTTTCGTGGCTGCCTCTGAATTAAATAATTTCAAAATTGGGAACTAGAGTTTTTTTTTTAGCCCGACTAAAGTGACAAAATTTTGATTGAATCTCAATTTGGTAAATTTTACTATGCCATTGCGGGAGGCAGGTATTTTTTGTAACTTTGTATGCCTTTTGTACTTCCTTCCAAATGAAGCCAGAGTATGACATTTTATTTGTAGATGGTGTAATTACTAAGTATATGTATTTTGGCGTAGCATAATTTTTGTAGTGGTGTTTGAATAGTGTTCTTCTACTTTCTTCCTGCCTAAACTTGTGAAATATCTCATGAACAATGTAACGAACCCAAAAGTTTCAGGACCAAAATTTATTTTAATTATTACTCGATCTATACACATAATTTTTATTGTAGGTTCACATTTGAAAAACCAAAGTTGATATCGCTACATAATACTTCCTTAATTTTGTGAAAAATAAAAGTATACGAAAATATCGTCTTTAACTACACTTACAAAGTCCAAAAATCAGAATTTCAATTTATGTATAAATTGTCTCTGAAAATAAGGAGTATGAATTAATGGATTACCCTATCTATAAGTATAATAACTGTCGACGATGTGCTTTTCGAAGATTTGAACTTTAAACCTCCAACCCAACGTCTATTTAAACGATAACATAAATATCGAAAAATGTTTTATTTATTTAAATATATATTTTAATTATAGGTAAAAATATAAAAAAAAAAACCATGAAATATGTAATGGCAACACGTTAGTTGGGAGAAAATTCGACATTAGCGACGGAGTTCTTACTATTCATGTGTTTTTCATAATAAAAGTTTTATCTAATTTTTACATAGTAAATTATCACTAATATTATGTTTTTGGTGTTTATTTAACTTGGCGATCTGGAAATCTAACACTACTTTCATCGTAAAGAACTTATGTATAAGTTGTTATGACTGTATTCGAAAATCTCAAAACTTGTAGTTAATATTTAATTTATAACCATTGCGACCCTCTTCTGGAGTTTAGGAAAAAGGGACCTATAATTTAGTGCTGCAACAACAGATTATGGGTCCCGGAATGTTTTCAAATTTTTTTTTTATTTTGAGCGAAATGAATTGTGCATTTGTTTTACAATAATGTGCACGATTTTTTTATTTTACGTTGGTAAAAAACTTCTTTACCAAAATCCATGCTCCAATCAAAAAACGACATGAGAACTTTTTTGTAATATTTTTGATTTAATTGGTGCATAACAATATTTTTTTTATGTTCGTTATAGTTTTTTTAAAAAATCAAGAAAAACATATGAAAAACCGTAATTCGACTACAAATAATTTTTGACTTGAATTTTAAACAGAATATTTAAATTGAAATCTTTCCTAGAGGTTGCAAAATGTTTAAAATATGTTGACGTATTTAAAGCTATTTATTTGGCTTTTTAAAACACTTATTTATTTTAATATATTATATAAAATTGTTTCAAAAGGTTGAACAATTTATGAAAATTGGATAAAAAATGTACACAATACATCATGCGTTGCATTTATTGGTTTAAAAAATGTATTTTTTTTTTTTTTTTTGTACAAGCAATTTAGGTCAAATTTTTACAAACATCTTAAACATCAATTTCAAAATAGTTTTAACCAAATTTCATTCGGAACCGTATTTCGTCTATAGTTATGTATACAAATTTAATATCTCTATGTATCTTACATTCCCAACTTCCCATCTAAAAAAGTGGCACACTAGTTGACAATATTTGTTTATTTTTAGTAATAGATTTTTTATTATTTTTTTTTTTTATATTATTCTTATTTATCTATATTCCATGTAATGATAATTTGAATTGACCCAAATTTCGTTATAAATTATTAATTTCACTGTCAATGATCAGTTTAATTTTCATATATTCTGAGAACGAGTAAACTATTTAATTCGTTAAAAACTCTGATGTGTGCCTTTTTTTCTTAAATCTAGAATTATTTTATTAGATATACATAAGTTCACCGAAAATACTGAAAAAGTTTACCCAGTAAAACTTTGCTGTTAATATTAAATTATTGAAGAATCTATATTTCATTTCAAATTGTAATGAATTACAAGATGTTAAAAAAAATACGAAAACATTGAAAATTGTATTATAATGGAACAAATAATATTATAATTATGTACATATATTTTACTACTGCATAGAGATTGAACAGCATGAAAAGTGATAGTTTTAAATTCTCAGCGCAGTGAGCATTCCTATTGTTCCTAGCATTTATGGTGCATGGTTTTTTTTTTGTATTCGAACAATTTTTTTTACAGAAATCTTGTTCCACTCAAACAACGACAAAAGAGTTTTTTTTTTTGTAGTATTTTGGATCTATATTTGGTACATAGTGGAAGTCATTTTGTTTATTTTCCTTGAAATTTTTTTTATAACTGGAGAAAATATGAGAAAATTTACGGAAATAATGGAAATAATAATTGATTAATGTCGATTTTGTTTGTTATTTTTTTTTTAGCTATTTGGTTATAACCTTAATTTTTATACAATTATTATATTGATGTTTTCCGGTTTAGAAAAATGTTTAAAACATTCTATCAATTTCTTAATTATTTATAGGTATTTGACATTTTCATGGTTTTAATTTTTTTAATTTAATGTGGATAAATTTTGTTGACCCACAAAAATACTCGAAAATTAAACATGACATTATTATCATAAGTTTTACTTAGTGGTCCAGAAATATAATTTATTATAATGTAGTAGCTTTTTTATAACTTAATTTAAGTTCAAATAATAATGACAATTGTACAAATTAGGATATTTTAAAACATATTTAACCTAAATTCGAAGAGTATGTTTTTACATTAGCAGCGATTTATCGTTCCACGTAGATTTACATTAAATAATTCTATGTATTACTTTTCTTTCTTCTCACCTACAAGAGTGGTACACCTATCAGCAATATTGGTTCTATTTTTTTAAATGCTGGTTATTCATAAGATTTAATTTTAAAAAGACAGTTTTGTATTCACGCAATAGTTATTCTGGCGTAATTTAACTTGAGATGTTATGTTTTATTTTGTTTTTTTAATAAAGTAGGTATTAAAAACTCAAACTATAGTTTTATCAGAAATAAATTTGTTAACATAGGTTACTTTTTTAACTGATCAGTCACGTACTTGTATATAGAATAATTTATTTCGAGGGGATAGTTTATTTCAAAGCACTGTTTAAATTATTTTTTATGAACGACACATGCATGTGAGAGTAAAAATGCTGAATGTTTTGAGTCCATGAGTATTATACTATAAAATAGGTATTTAATTTCCAATGTATTGCTGCGGTTCAATATAGTGTGTTAAATATCGGTAGGTGTATTGAAATTATATTAAAATTGAAATTTATTATTAACGGTGGAAAATGGAAATCACATAATTATTCAAACCATTCAAACATGAAAATGTTAGGAAACAGTGAAAACGGTCGAAAAAATGTAATTGTTGATAAATGATATTATTTGAACAACGAATCAGTAAAAATCATTTTTCAATAATATTAGATATAACTGCGAGCTAGTGAAAATATTGAAGAAATGCTGTTTTTGAGACTTTTGTTTCGCTCGAGTGGGCCATTCCATCACTGTTGTAGTGCGTTATATTAGCTCGCCGTTCGAATATGTAGTACAACTCTAGTGATCTGTCACTGGGGAAATAAGAGAAATTGATTATAGGTAAGATATCCGAGGCGCAAATATTTAATTGCTTCACCGAATACAATATTACTCACACATCACGGTATACCTCATAGATATATAGTAACATACTGTTGATTTTTATTGGAAAAACACTGATTTATGGCCAGGATATTAGTTTTTGAACAGTAAATAATGAGTCATGACACTTATATATGTACATAGGTATGCCTACCTGCGACAGACGTTTCGTTTAATTTTTCACGTTACGTTTACCTAAACGTAGTAGCTTTCCCCCAAATAACAAACAGTGAAAACTCTTTGTAACAAATCCGGAGGACCAGGAGAATTTTATTTTCGCTATAGAGAGTTTTCGCAATAGTGAAAGAGAATAACACTAATGTATGGGTTATGAAGCAAACCTAACCATTATTAAATAGTTTTTACGTTACATATAGTTTTTCGTTAAAAAGATTTTCGTTATAAAGAATTTTAACTGTATTATATTTACCCGATGCGCATTTGATGTATGTAATAAGCAATAATTTGTATGGACGATCGTCTAAAATTCAATATTTTATTCGTTTAATGACCAGATTGTTGTTGTTTTAGGTTCTGATCGAATTATTTTTTCATGAAATAACAACAC